GCGTACGTTTGTGTACGTTGGGCGTACGCAAGAAGAGCACAAACCCTTAAATTCAGGGTTTGGAGCCTATTTAAAGAACTTATTGGCCTTAAACCATTTCTTGCCTTCAACCTCTATCTCGAAACCCTAATCCTTGTGTGAGAGTTTTGAAGCTTTAGAGTGCATTTTGGTGTTCTTGGTGATGAAAGAAGACCCTTGAAGTGGTGGTGTTGCTCTCAAGCTTTTGGATTCAGACTCTTCTCATCTTTGTGCATGTTCACAAGGTATAAAGTTCATACCTTGGAGCTTTCTTTGTTAGATCTTGTGTCAGCTTATCTTTATACTCTTTTTTCCGAAAATATTGATCCTGTTTAAGCTTATCTTTATATGTCTTGTTATATTTATGTGTATGGTGTATGTGGTATTTTGGGAAAGCTCACTAAGCTTTTTGCTTACAAATATGTTTTTGGTTTCGTGTACTCCTAATACAAAAGAGAAGGGCCTGGCGTGATGGCACAACATCCTCCCCCCTCACGATTTCTGCTTTTTATGATCTTTGTTACTATGATATTTTGTGATAATTTGTATTTTGTATGTTTTTGGTACATGTAATGTTTGGAATGATGAATCGGAGAAATGAAATTTTTACTTATGGATTTTGGGTCGTTACAACTCATGTATGAGTATTTTAGGAATCACTTACTTATGGATTTTGGGTCGTTACAACTCAGGGGATGTTGTGCAGTCAAGTCAAGCCTTTCACTTTGGAACTGGAAGTACCTAAAAATATTTAAACCACAAAACCATAAGCACAAAGCTCAGAGGGTTACCTAAAATACCACATACGATACATATTATAGTCTTACAGTCACTTCCAGATTACAGCCAACCATAACCTTTCTACAATGATCCAACCATGGCCTTCCATGCAAGTCACAAAGACAAACAAGTATTATGATCTAACCACAATTATACATACAAGTCTTTTGATCCAAACATAGTTTTTCATATAGGTGTTGTGAACCACAATATTTTATAAAGGTGCTGTGATCCAACCACATTCATTCTGTAAGAGTCACAAAGACAATCTGGTAACCTAGATATTATAGCGAGAAGACTCATCTTTGTCACAAAGTCAGATAAACCATAACTCAATGCCACGGAACAGGTGCAAAAACTTATATATCGAATGAAAAGGATCCCACCTTAGTCTATACTCTAGAATTAGAAATTTGACCAAAAGTCAATGCAGGTCAACAAGTCAATGATAAGGGTCAAAGTCATTAGTTAGCATCACCATCATCTGGCCCTCATGTCATGACTAGCTAATAGTCATATCGTGGGAAAACGAACTTGGACCAATCACAAACTCGGCCACAATCCAACGCAGTCTCGTTCAAAATTATTGTCACATCGCGATGGCCATGTAATGACATCATGATGGCATCCATCAAACACAGTCGATGAACCCTTATTGTCATGTCATGACATCCATATGGTCACGTCGTGAGAACCGTAATGGGCAGATTAACGCATTAACCACCTTATCCCTTAGGCCAATCATCCTAACTTCTCAGAGGTCTTTCATAAATAATAAACCTTCTAAAGATTGATACTTTATAGACATGTATGTCCAATCCATGTCTTGAAATCAAAATATGTCAAATGGTGAAAATGGAACCAAGATCCCATGCATGGAATCAACGCTACACCAAACTCCAGAACCAAAGCATATAACCTTCAAGAGACCTCAAGGATCCATAAAGTTGTCAACTTTATGGAATCCTTCCAGCCAAATTTTCCTAAACATAGCTAAAAAGGGACAAAAAGCATAGATCTAGCAACCTAAAGCATACATATTGGAACTTGTTCACTCATAATGGTCTAGAAGATGCTCAAAAAGAGTCTCCAAGCTTCCCAAGATGCTCTCTTCACAACAAGGGCCTTTTTCTTCTTTCAAAAGCCATTAAGAACAACAAAATGAGCTAAAAATGAAGGTGGGAGATTAGGGTTTCCTCAAGGGGGTTTAGGAGGTGATGGAGGTTGAGGGTGGAGAAAACCCTAGCCCTCACTTCCTTTGAATAGGGTCCAAGTCTAGAAATTAGGGTTTGCTCCTAATTAGTTGTCATGTCGTGACACCTTAATGGGAAAACACGCCTCATATGGCATGGTCAGGTCGTGATGATACCTTCGTCACGTTGTGACCAACACAGAACTCATAATTTGCTTTAAATTCCATACCTCGAGGATCCAGATGTTACAATGATGTTGTTTTTCCTATTTGAGTTTTGTATATTTGCATATATTTTTTTTATAGTATGAGATTTTTTCATATTATAGCATTGTACTTCGCCATATTTTTGTAACTTATGGCATTTGATTTTATTTTAAGTTTTCTATAATAATATTGTATTTTATATATTATATTGTTTTTTTTCTATTTAAGAATTGTACTTTTGTATATATTTTTTTATTTGTACTTTAGTTAAAAAGCCTTAGAAGTTAAGTGATGTTCCAATCAATACATACATACATATTCATACAAATACACTTAAACATACATCCTACAAATATTACATATTCATTATAGTATCCTATTGTTTTTTTTTTTCATTTTTTCCATTATAACATTATACTTTAAAAAAAACCCTTAAATGTTAAGTGATGTTCCAATCAATACATACATACATATGCATACAAATACAATTAAACATACACCCTACACATATAGCATATTCATTATAACATCCTACTTATTTTTTCATTTTTTCTATTATAACATTGTATTTTGCAAAAAAGCTCTTAAAGTTAAGTGATGTTGCAATCAACATATGTACACATAAATACAAATACACTTAAACATACATCCTACACATATTGGATATTTATTATAACATCCTACTTTGTTTTTCATTTTTTCCATTATGGCAATGTACTTTCCAAAAAAGCCCTTAAAAGTTAATTAATGTTCCAATCAATGCATACATCCAAATACATACAAACACACTTAAACATACATCCTACACATATTGTATATTCATTGTTGCATCCTACTTTTTTTCATTTTTTCCGTACATATATACACACATTACATACATTTATGTATTCTTTTTCATATACATACGTCATACACATTACATACATACATAATGCATACAATATGAAGAACTATATTAGAATACTTAATGAAATGGAATAGAACCTATGGAAGAACGAAATCAGAATTATGGTGTTGTTGTGGCGGTGTTGTTGAGGCAGAATATCTGACAGTTATGGTGGTGGGGATGACAACCCGAGCTCAGAGGTCAACAAAGCTTAATACACAAAATCAAACACTTTCACTGGAGAGAAAAGAAATTGAAAAAAAGAGGAGAAGCGCATGTCCCGACAAAAAATCCAGCAACTGTGTGGTATGGTCAGTATTGTACCTTCTATCAATGATGATGGTGGCCTTTTTGTTGCCAGTGACAGAGGATGTGTAGGTTTTGATCAATTTTGTTGTCTGAAATCAAGAGAGCGTTTGATGGAGGTGTAAAACTATAGAATACAAAAAGTGTGGATGGAAGAGGGGTATATTTGCGCACACCTTTGGCGGCTATAACTATTAGCAGCGACACAAGGGTTTTAGCGGTGACAATAGAGTTTTAGCAGCAACACCGTTTGGAGAGAAATTATACCACGATTTTTTTACAACATTAATGGCGATGATTGTCTCCGCCATTGATGTCGACGCTAATAGTTTAAGTAATATTCATATCCACCCGTTCAAGTAGGTCCAATCAGGGGTTAACAATTCATTTGACGCAGATTGTTGTTTTGTATGTTTAGCGGCGACACACACCATTAGCGACGACATGTAGTCGCCGCTAAAAATGTGCGTTGCCGCTAATGGTGTCGTTGCTATTACGTTGAATTTTTGTAGTGTATATTAGGAACTAATATATTCTATCATTTAGCTGCTTGATTATAGGAAGAAAGTCAATTAGAATAGCTTTCTAATTAAGAAATTTTGAGATATATAAGTGCTTGTGTGTATTGGTGAATAAAGAGACATAATATAATCTTCACTCATTCTTTGAATAACTTATTGATGCGATATCAATAATTTATGGTTGAGAAATTAAATTGTTTCTTATCTTTTATGCTTATAAATATTTATACCCACTAATATTATTATACATGATATCATTCTACCATTCAGTTTAATTTTATTTGAAATATTTTTAATATACTCTTAATAAGATAGTTAAATAAATATAAAATGATAACATGTATCATAATATTAGTGAATAAAAATATTTGTAGATATAAACAATAGAAAGTAATTTAATTTATATTTATGGTTTTATAATATTGTCTAATTGGACAACCGCATCAAACAAAAAACCAATCGAACCAACAAATATCTTATGTACTAGTGTCATTAAATGCCATTAGTGTCACTGTTATTGTTTTTGTCATGTCCGATATTGTCCTTGCCGATGCTGTACACAATTGCCCATATTTCATGTAGCGTACAATACAAGATTCCTAAAAAAGACCTTTGTAACATATGCACCTACTATATGGGGACGCACGAAATTTGTTCCAAGTGGGGGGCGGGAAGTTATGTCCGACTGTGAATGGTGACAGCCTCATATGTCGAGTAGTAGGAGCAATTTACAAAAAAGGGAATCAATTAAAAACTATGTATGTCGTTATGAATAAATTTGTACTATTTATACATTAAATAAAATGTTTTTAAAATTTTTATGGAGTAAAACAACAAAGACTTTAAAAGACAACCGTTTTGAGGGACAGGTGTCAAGTACACCTTCTAGTTCTATGAGGAAATAACCAAGAGGTAATTATGCCGAGTATATATGAGCTCAGATTTCCCATTGAATATCATTCAATGCTCTACATACGTCCAAAAAGCCTGCCATCATTCTCCTTTGGTTTGTTGTAAAAGCCACGTAAACCCATGCACCTCCACCCAAACCCGATCAAACCATCACCTGACCCAATTACCCTCCTTTAAGATGGATTGTTCTAGCCAGCTTGTTGGCCATGGTAGCACACCACTCGACATGAGTACTTGTGCAAGGATTGATGTTGAATTACAGTCTCCTAGAGCCATGCATGTGTTGTGTGGTCTGTTGAAAGGGAAACGACATTGTGAAGGCAAGCAGCTTACAGATACCACATCCGCCAACATGAGTAGAACCAGCACAAAACCTAGAAACCAAGAAGATGATGAAGAATTCACGCAGCACCAACGCATAAACTGCTTTTATGGTTTGTTTTTTACTTTTCAAAGTGAACTAATGCTGGGTGTAAGTAGTTGTTGTTTCATTGCATATTGATCGATGAACATGCTAAAATCGACAAAAGATACTTAAGAAAGACAATTAAACAGTTTCCAGTCAATGTGCAACGCAACTTTGTTTGAAACACTTGTTATGACAATTGGTTTTTAGGGTTAATTAAGTGCACACAGTAGTAACATATTTTAGGCCCATTCTCAGTAACATACTTATGCAAAATAGGAACATTTCAGAACTAATTAACTGTTGCGTTCAGTTTTTCCTAAGGCTAAGCCATCAGAGCTGTATTGTACCATCAAATTAAGATACGATACAACAACTAATATATACACAAAACTCATCTCGGGCAATGTTTTTAAGGTATCATTAAGAAAGTGTGTCGCCTAAAATGACAAATATTAGAGTATGTTTCTAGCTATTGTGTGTAAGAGTGTATATTGTGTAAGATAGAATGAGGATTTGTCTAAAGCATGTTTATATTATGTGAACAACCTTTTTTGATACACGTTCTATCAAGAATAGTTGTTATTTCCTTTTACATTACTGGAAACTCCATCCATGAGTACTCCATTCTTCAAATGATGATGTAGGTACGTATCACGCTACCAACTATACTTACATCTGTAGCAGTAAAGTATGTCATAAGAAGTGGTCCCAAGCAGGTCTTAATGCATTAATGAAAATTGACTACAATGTTTGTCCTTTTTTTCCCTCATATTTAGCGTTATACATTTAAATGATCTAATGAAGTATAATAATTTTTCAGAAAATGATGGAATATTTGGAGAATTTGACGAAAGAAGGACAAATTTCTAAAACAATTGTGCTTAATAGAAAACCTACTAACTTGTTTTTTCAGCATTATGTAAAAAATATCAATATATAGCTTAGTTAAAAAGTGCATTAACATTCGTTCAAATGATGATGACGAAATTCTAATAGTGTTGAGACTGGCATAACAGTACTAGAGACCGGGGACCCATCAAGAAATGTCATTGAGATGATCTTCAGAGCGGCAACAACAACAACAGACATCTCAAGATGTATAATAAACATAAAACAAGTCCTTAAGTTGAATCATTCAAGGGAAACTCTAGAAACCTTTGAAAGTTTCAGAGAGGGTGTCAAGAACAGAGCTCACAAGCATTATGACAAGCAACCAAGAAACATGGTTGATGGTAACGAGAAGTTACTGTTCTACGGCGCAAAGAGCACATATTGCAAGCAATTTGGAAGCTCCAAGCTCTGTAGAGCCTCGGATTGCAGAATTTGTAGCATAATTAAATCAGGTTTTTACACCGCAGAGTGGACAACTGGAATATGGTTGAACACAAGTTGTCAAGATATAATCAATGCCAATACAAGTGCGAAGATGATGAATGTGAAGATGGCCATCATAGTTTGTCGAGTAATTGCTGGACGAGTTATTGATATGCTTGATAGGGACGGGGAAGGTGACTATGATTCTGTGAGAGGAATAAAATCAAACTACTTGTTTGTAAGAAACCCAAGTGCTGTACTACCTTGCTTTGTTATCATCTTAAACTGCACAAAATTATGCTAACAATCTATCGAGAACTTCCTATCTTGATAAACAAACGGTAGCTAGTTGATGGAAAGTTTTGTAATTAAGTGATGTAATTGCAAATAAGTGCTCATATTGATTAAAAATGTAAATTTAATATCCTTATGAAACATTGAGAATATCTTAGGGCACTTACCTTGTTTAACATGCCGATCAGATTGTTTGGGACAACTCTATGGTTTACATGCGCCTCCTTTCGTGCTCAGTAGGCCATATATTCACCAAAGGGCTTTCTATGTGTCTTTTCACAAGTTTTAATCTACTTTAAAGTTTTAAACCATTTCGTCCTATAAGTTTTTCAGGAACATCGATATATTTATTTTTCATAAATCTTATAAAAGACCATCCAAATTAATGTAGTTCAAGATAAATCATATCTTTGCTTAAGATTGATTTGAACCTTATATAACTTTTCATTTTCACCTAATTAACAATTATTCAAAAGTTTTTTAACTTATGATAGTTAATGGTGTTAATAACACCAATTGATATATATATATATATATATATATATATATATATATATATATATATATATATATATATATATATATATATATATATATATATATTTATTGTATGAATATATAATCAATTCTTATCTATTGAATTAAATTAAAATAATGATGGGTTGAAATATGAGGGGCATCTTATTAACATGTGTTAGGATTTAGTATATAACTGCATCTAATTAATTTTAAGCATAAAATCCTAAGAAGCGTTACAAAACATATATTGAATATGAGATTGTCAAGGCATATTAATTTTAATTTCAATTTCTATTTAATTATGTGTTGATATATTTTTTTAGAGTACGTTACCAAAAAACAAGAAACATTTTTCATTCTTTAGGAAATAGTTTGTTCTTTTTTTACCACCTATAAATTTGATTTTTTCGTATTCATGGGAACAATGAAAAATTAACTGGATTTACTTATTTTATATTATTCTTATACTTAAGAATATTATCTATTAACAATTCTCATGGTGGGTGATAAGAATGATTAAGAATGAAATTATGGTAAGACATTCTTGTAAAATAAGAAGTTAAGTAGATGATTATAATTGAATTATCTATTGAAATTCTTGAAGAAGAGTTTAAAATTCTTGAGGAATAAAGTATTAGAGCATCCACAATGCATAGTTCAATGGGAGAGTTGAATGAGATAGCATGTGTAATTGGCATCCAATACATTTTAATGGATATGAAGTTCAATGGTTATTCAACTCTTCAATGGAAAAAAGAAAACATTTTAACTCTTAAATATATATTCCATTAAACTCTATTGAGTTCAATGCATTGTAGGAAACTTAATGTAGAGTTGTCTAGTAAGTAAAATGATGATATGTCAATCCATTAAACTCTAATAAGTTTAATTATAGAACATTCTTGAAGAATAAGATAATAATAAACGAATATTCTTGAATAATATGACAAAAAAAACCTAATATGATTCCGTAAATCAATATAAATATATAAATTAATGCCAAAAATTTCACTATTAATTTATATTGGGAGATAAAGAAGAGTAAAAACAATTAACAAAAAAGACTATATGATTGTAATTAAGATAATAAATAATTGATATAAACTTCTTGTATGAAAGAAGATTATTAAAGCAAAAGTTAAATTGATGGAGATCACCGGTTATGTCGATTAAAATGGAAAATGGCATACATAAAGCAAATTGATTATATGTTATTTATATTTAGTTTTTTTCTTAATTATAGGTTATTAAATATCATTAATTGATACAAAAATCAAATTACCATCTTTCCTTATCCATATATCTAAAATCGGTGGAGGAGATTTGGTTATACGTTCACATAATAGATAAAGTCTATACATGAACCAAACTTTATATATATACATATACATATATATATATATATATATATATATATATATATATATATATATATATATATATATATACACACACACACACACACACATACATACACACACATAGAATTACGTTCATATATAATCTCTATTGTGTGAATGTATGACTAATTCTCCGTCAATCAATATACATGGGCTTTATAGTGAATTCAATAATTAAGGAATTAATTATAAAATTATAAACATATAATTATGAAAAGATACCAAAAAAACAAAATCCCTTATTTGATTTTTCATGTGCGTACCAAATCAAGTTGTTGTCTCTCTCTCTCTCTTGCCGGTTTCTCCACACCACCACCTTGACGATCGCCCTCCTCCATCACCAGCCTACCCTCCTCCTCCAGTGCTTCTCTTTGTATGTCTGTTGATGTGATATTCTCCTCTATTTCTCTATCATTTGTTCAACATAGCTATCCTTAAAGGTTACCTGGAGATCAATCTTCAGCCCCTACGATACGTCCACCTCTATTTACCCTAGCTATGTCTCTACCACCACCACCGACTACCATGAAGAGTTAGTGTAACACCTGTCCCATGTATTATTTGATTTTTCCAAGTTTTAGGGATTTGATAATGGGACTCGATGAGTTGTATCACCGACTCGTCGAGTAGAGAACTTTTCAAGGATGCAGGATCTGCACCCTACTCGATGAGTTGGACGGCTAACTCGACGAGTAGGCAATGTAAGGGAAAACCCATAATTTTAGGGTTTTCACCATATATGATCTCCTTAAAAGCCTTAAGGTTGACCTTCCATCAGCCTCCAAACTCAAAGAACATCGGTGCTAAACCCTAATCCCCATTCTCTTTCATGTTGTGAGCTATACTGACTTTTTGAAGCTTAAGAAGAAGGAGATGGTGAGAAGAAGGAGAAGATCCAGCAAACCAAGCCCTCACTCTTGAGCTTGACCATCTTGTAGACTGCAGTAAGGCTGCAAGATTCGATTTTTATCTTAGAATATGGCTAGATCTTGAGTTTACTCTTCATTTCCTATCCTTATTGTTGATTGCATGCATGAGGTTCAGAAAGTTTGCAACTTTATGGATCTCTAGTGCAAAATGGTCCTAAGGTGGGCTAGATCTAGCCTTTAGTCAAGCAACGATGCGATGTAAGGGTTTTTAGGGCATATTTCCCTCTTTTTGGCCATTTTAACCTAAGGACATGCATTGGACATGCATGTCCATAAAGCCTCCATCTTTGGAACGTTTTGAGGACTAGAAACTCTTCTGGAAAGGAGGAATTCCAGATCCCTAGAGTTTTGGACCTTATGGAAAAACTTTGAGCTTTCCAACCTTTGATAAGGGCCTTAGAGCATTTAGATTGGTTCTAGAGGGTAAAGATGGCTAGGGTTTGACCAGGTTTTCTGGACTCGATAGGAACTTGACGATTCGTTATATGCACTCGACGAGTTGAGGTCAACATGGACTATTAACCTTGAATTTGAACAAGGTTGACCAGGGTTGACTCCGATGGTAATTTTGGGATGATGACATGACTGTCTTATGATGCTTATAGGCAGTTGAGTTGGAGCAACACGTGGGACTTATCCGATTCTAGCTTTTTAGTTCAGCATTGATGATAGGTGACTCTTCCCACCATACCAATGTGTGACAACCCGAATTTTTTTGCTTTGTAAGTCCAACAGTCAACTCAACTGAGTGTCAGACTCATTTCTGCTATTGTTTAGTCATGTTTAGAGTTCGTTCAAAGGTTCAAAGCTCAATACATTCAAGCATTGAGCATGGGAATGAATCGCGTGCACTTCTAGCACCAAAATTAAGCCTTACACTCCAACATAAGGAGTGTACGGGATCACACATGGATGTGCAACCGCACACCCCTCTGCTGGAAGCACACTCACGAGCATAAGTATAGATCTTAGCCTTCTTTCATCCCTTTTCACCCTCCCAAGCCTAGAACTCGATTTCTCTCTCAACTAGCATCCAATTTTCAACCTAGATCTTCAAGAATGTAACTGTTCTTCCCTTGATTTGTTGTTAATCTTCTTAAACTAGTTACATCCTTTGATTTCATCCATTTGAAATCATGTTTTGGCTCGATCTTCATCCATTTCACCAAGAACACACTTGTTCTTGGTGATTTTGAGCCTTCTTGAGCCTCCAGATCGTAAGTACTCTTCCCCTTTGCTTGAATCTTGTTTAGAACACTTGATTTAGTCTTAGAAAATGCCCAGAACTCATAATCATATGGTATGTGCGGCTGCACACACAGGTGTGGCCGTACACCCCTCAAAATATCCTCAAACACCCTTAAAAGGTTTCTATATTGTAAGTACCATCCCCTAAGCTTGTTACTTACTAGATATGAGCCTTGAAAATGTCCAAACCAAGTTCATCAAAGAGTGTGCGGCCTCACACATCCCATGTTGCCGTACACCCCTTTGTTTTGTGCTTAAGGGCCTCCAAATGCCTTTCTAGCATCAAGACTTGATGAACATTAGTCCTACAAGCCTCCCTACCATTGGAAAATGTTTTTGTGAACTCTTTACCATGAGTGTGCGGCCGCACACTCCTTGGCTGCACACTCCTCAAAGTGGCCATACACCCCCCTTAGTTCAATCACATTGATTCCAACACTTGGTCAAAGTGTTTCTTAGTTCTGTGAGGATTTTCCTTGCATTTGGTTGCTTCTAAACACTATATTTATGTCAATATATGTCATTTAGGACTCGTTAAGTCTCGGGGGTTCAATCATGGAGTTTCTCATCCTTACACACATATTCGTTTGAATCACCCACATCAAGTGAGTTCATACACCATAATCAATCTTTTAAACTGTTTTAAATGCTTTTAAGGGGCGAATATAAGTTGAACACAATTGATAATTGTGTAATTGTTTGTTATAAACATCTTACAAAAGGTTGCTTATGTCTTTTATAAGTGATCAAAACATTTCAAAAACTCTTTTAAAGTTATGTTACTTCTTAGTTTAACAAAACTCCATTTTTAAAGTACAAGCATAACTTAGTAGTAAAATGAGTCTTTTCAATAACAGTTCCAGTAAAACACTAGTAAACTATAATAGGTATAGTTTTGGAGTTCAATTCATGCTAGATACAATACTTACTATAAAGAGAAACTGATAGAAAATACTATAACAAGAAACAATACATACTAAGACACTATAACAGAACGAACATAC